AATAAATTGATTTTATAAAAAAACAAAAAAAAACAAACTTGAACTAATATAGTTACAGATAGTTTTATCAGATAAAAAGAAATTCATTTCTGGTTTCTTTTGAAATTGACCACATATTCTCAAAAATATGAATTGTATATTCTATTTTTTTGCTACTATTATTTACCATTATCTTTTGCCTAAAATAAATAACTTTAATAGCTGAGATCATGAGTCAATTAAAGCTAGACCACCATAGAAAACCTCTGACTCCTCGGTAGTGCGCGTTCACGATCCCGCCTCGCGAGATTCGAACCTAAGACCTAGCAGTTTTGTGAGCACGCGCGCGCTTAACCATTAGATTACTGAGCCGGCATTCAACGGCGTTAGTGTCTAATTTCAACTAATCCACGAGATTGAGCTACACATCCACTATTGTCATCAGTGAGTTACTAACTCACAACATATCTGGTTGAAATCCATTGGTCACTGCTTCTCACTAGAAATCCAGGAAATATCTCTTGGAGACCGTCACTAGTGAGAATATGTTGATTAATATCAGAAGGAATTTTGTGGATATTATAGTAATTTTAATGGTTGATAAAATAAATAATTCGAATCACTTAGAATTAGTTTAGTCGATTTGTTTTTTGTATTAGTGAAGTGAGGAACTCAAGTTTTTTTTACTATGAGTTTCTTATAGAAAGTATTATTAGCTTATTTTGTGAATGAAGATTCAAGTGGAGAAAGCTAATGGTAATGTTTAATATAAAAGTAAAAAACATCTTGATGAAATAATTAGAGACATATATTAAATACTCCATTTGCAAATCTTCCATCACTTATCCTTCACATTCTACATGATTCTTCACATTTATAGTTCTTTTCTATTTCCATTTTTGTTTTCTTCAACCTTTTAAGCCTTCTACTGCTATGCATCCAACTTCTGATTTATGTTACATACTTATTTATTTACTTGGTTACTTGCGCTTGTTACTCCTTGTGGAGGAGCATAGGCCGCTCACCAACATTCTCCATCAAACCCTGTCCTGGGCAGTCCTTTCCAACTACTTCCAACTGTTATTCATCCTTTTTCATATCTGCTTCTATTTCCCGAAGTAATGTGTTCTTTGGCCTCTATCTTTTCTGCTTCCCTTCAGGTTTCCAAATTAGGGCTTGCCTCGTGATGAGGTTTGATGATTTGCGTAATGTCCTATCCACTTCCAACGTCTTTTCCTAATTTCTTCCTCAGCTGAGAGTTGGTTTGTTCTCTCCCACAAAATCTGTTGCTGATGGTATCCGGCCAATGGATGTTGAGTATCTTGCGTAGACAACCATTTATAAATACTTGTATCTTCTTGATGGTGGTTGTTGTAGTTCTCCAAATTTCAGCTCCGTACTGTAGAAATGACGAATTGAAGATTCCGACTTCGATATTGGTTGAAAGTTGTTTTGAGTTCTATATGTTGTTCAATTGTAGGAATGCGGCCCTTGCTTTGCCAATTCTATGTTATATACTACTTATATCAAAAGATATAATTAGTATGCATAACACTTATAATGATGTCATTTCGGTATGTAAATACTTATAATGTCACTCGTTAAATTGTCTAAGTTTCTTCGTCTTATCTCATTGATAATAAAATTTAATTTGACTAAAATGTTAAGAAAATAAAATTAAGCCAACTTCATTATCTACTTTTTTCATTTTTGCTATTGATTTATGCAAAAACCCAGTTATGCCTAATATGGAAATAGATGAAATATTCCTATTGATAATATGTCTGTGAGAATTTGAACTGAATATGTCCAATATAAAAATGAATATGATAATGAACTTGATGAAATGATTCGAAAGAAAATAAAGAATATCTTGATTGAATTTGCTTATATTGAATATATAGTTGTAAAGCTTCATGTATCAGAATATATAGGATATTGTCCTGGATATGGTCAACACTGACATATCTCATTTTGTTATTGTAATGTGAAAAATAGATCAGAAGAGATGTTATAAGTTTGTTAAATCCGGGATATGATGTCAATCTATAAAGCTATTGACTGACGAAACTAAACAAGTTAGGAGGTACAGACTACCTGGTTGGATTTACCGCTAAAATGTTTAGGTAATACAATAATGTCAGTCTTAATGGTGAAGTTGTATTCATTTACAAGATCAATGAGTCTTAACATAATTTTCACTCTTAACTAATTTGAATGACACAGAAAAGTCATTGTGATCTATAGATATATATTTTTATAACTTCACTAATAATGGGGAAGATGTTTTAAACATTATAATGTTACCTATCTGACATTCTCATACCCTTGTGATCATATTTTTGAAGTAATTGCGTTTAGTCACAGTATACATTTATGTTGTTATGACTTGACAAAATGCTAATACTATTATTAGTACAGCTGGCTGATATGATTAAGGAATAATTGCACACAGTAAAATCATTAATCCAGATGCTTGGAGAAAGGTCTTCGCGATATCAATGTATGAGAATCTAATAATTTTATCACAAAGGCAGGTATTGTCAACAGAGACTGTAGACGTTCACAGTTACAATCGCTTACAGAGAACCATTTATCTGCAGCTAGAAAGAGAATTCATGGAGGTTAACTAATGTTGTACTGGCTTTGAGTCCCAAAGTGAACACCAACTCTGGGATGCAAGTATATCCAGATGTCGAGTCCCGGGTAGGATGAAATGCGCATCCTGGATTCTACTGTTAGCCACATCGTCTCTGCTTATAATCCTCGTGATTGAAAGAGAATCGAGGCAATCAGAACAAGATGCATATATGCCAATAAAAGACTGATCAATTGCAGTCCTAAACATCTATGGGAAGATTCAAACAACCAATGCAAAAATGAACCAAACTTAATCATGGCTATAACTGAAAATAAATACATTCTGTTTTAGGTGAAATGTATATTTTGTTGCAAATAATGGCTTAATATTTTGAGTTTATTAACGTCAATTCATGGTGTTTAGTGAACACGAACAATGCATCCGTGAAGTAACTTAATTTTTGTTATTTTGGTTCATTTGCTTAACCGAAGGTTAACAAAATCTGTTGAACTAAGATTGTGGTAATGTTGAAAATAAAGGGCAAACACTATCAAAGCAAATTTCAATCATTTTTATACACAATGTACTTTGTTTGGTGTTTGGTTCATTTGTGTGTTAATTTTCATTTGCAATAGTGCTTTACATAACTAGTTGCTCAATGAAACTAGATCGATTGGTTTATCATATTCACTAGTGTAGATTAACCTTGATTTATGTTAGCTAAATCTGTCTATTGAAACCTTCGTTTTTTTGTATTACCCAAACTGATTGCTTTTATCCCTTTTGTTAATCGTAAGCGAACATGTCTCTTAGTCAGAATATATCAGCAGACTGAACAAATTAAAATAGATTGTATTAGTAGTTGTTGCTGAATATTTCCTCGATATTAATGAAATTTCACTGCTCACTTATTTAAAACTTTTTGTTTCAATCTTAAATACACTAAGTTATTTTCACTTGACGTTGTTTTACTTGTATCTACTCATTGTTATTTAGGACTGCAATTGATCAGTCTCTTGTTGGCATATGTGCATCCTATGCGGTTTGCCTCGATATAGCCTTAAGTCACTAATCTATTTAAAGCGATTAGTCCCTTTAGTAAATTTCGATTCAACAATGAAAAGACGGAGTTGATCTGAAAAATGTGATGTATTTGCGCTATACGTGTGTGACCAGATTATTCGAAATGTATAGTGCAAATACATCACATTTTTCAGATCACACTCCGTCTTCTCATTGTTCAATCGAGACACTAATTTATTGTTTATCCTAAAACATTTGACTAAAATATTTTTCACATTCATGTACATTGCAACCGATCTCAATTAATTATTCTGCATTACTACATTTTACAGATGAAATTACTTACGCTAAACGTAACAATTAATTGATTGAAACATAAGTAATACATTACGCTTCATATCACAATCAATTCGAGATATTGTAACATAATCATAAATTGCTATTGATTTTATAAAACAGCTTTCACAATTGATTGATCGCTGGGTGGTGATCAATTTCATATGTGTCAAGTCCTTCTTAGTGCAGGTCGAATGCTATCGATTAAGTTACAATGTGGCCACTAGTCTAGGTGACTCGATACTGCATGCACTACGTTGAGATTAGATGGTAGTTGGAGGTAGTCGACAGGAAACCTTGGACCCAGTGTCGAGTCACCTAGACTAGTGGCCACATTGCAACTTGGTCGATAGCATTCAATCTGAACTAAGAAGGACTCGACACACATGACATTGATCACCACCCAGTGATCAATCAATTGTGATTACATCGTAGTTCTACAGGAGGTTGGTCGCAGCCCGGACAGCTCAGTGGTAACGTCTCTGATTGTGAGGCTGGGTGACACGAACCGAATCCGTTGGGGAGCACCAGTTCCCTCAAGATTACTGATACACCTTGCTGACGAGTGCCAAGTAGCACGAAATCCGGGTCCAGGGTTTCCTGTTGACTACCTCCAACCACCATCTAATGTAAAACAGATTTCCATTGTTTTCTAGTTTTCAATTAATTATTAAACTCAAATAAGTCCGTGATGCAAAAGATCAACCTCAACAATCAATATAGAGCTACATCACAACAAATAATCTTGATAACTATAGTTATTGAAATCTAGTAAAAAGGAACTGAGAGTTTTTATTAATTTCACAAGTTAGTCAAAGCCAGTATTGAATTAAATATGTAATAACGTCAATAAATAATAATTAAATGTCAGAAACATGTATGTTTGATGGACAGGGTCACTGTTTATATTCAGGTTTATTAATTAATTCCAAGACGTTTGAGCATTCAATTAAGCGGCCCAATTATGATTGTTAATTTTATTAGTATATCAATTATATATTACGATTAGTAAGTATTCAAGCAAGAATTATTGTTTTCTAAAAGAACATTTATTTGATTGGATTTTATATTGTGTTTATAGATCTGGTGTTATTCAAGAAGGTGATAGAGTAATATGTATTAATGGTCAATCTACATTAAATAGAACTATTGATGAATTAATTCAAAGATACTTGGAACCAACTGATTTTGAAAAGAAATACTTTCGTGTTCAATCATTAACACTTTTGATACAGTATACTGTAGCAGATTCAGTGGTTCCTGCAACGGGCATTTTTGATGTCAAATTAATAAGAAGATCGGCTAGTTTAGGTATTAATCTTCAAGGTGAGCTGAAACAATTCTTCGTCAGTTACATTATATCCTATTTGAATAGGTACTATTTTGCTTTGCTTTAAATGACTATTTTATGTTCTGAATCACTAATAATAAGAGTTTAAGCAGATCAGTCTTTGTTGGTATATGTGTAAATTCTGAACAAATGGCCTCAATATAATCATTTTGCAAGTTTAATGGAACACACAGATTATGTTGAGCACTGGAATCCAGGATGCACATTTAATCCTTATTTACAGTTGATCAACTGACTTTGTCTGCGTCCCAGTGTTACAGTTTAGAATATAATTGGAAATCAGCATTATCTTATCTTTTGTTTAAATGTTTTAATAAAACTCCATTGAATGAATGATTTTAATGAGAAATACTAGTTTTGTATATCACATTTCATATTCGTCATAGACTCATGATGATTAACAATACTGCAAAAGAAGTTGAGAATTGCTGAGTACCTATCATCGATCAGATGTCGATAAACAATCTCTCTCTCATACAAGTTCGTGAGTTTAAGAAGGCAAAAGGGTAACAGTTTTCAACATCAAAATAAAGATCTTCTACTGAGAGCTTTATAGTCACAATTTTAACATTATAAAACATAATGTGTTTGTGGGATAATTCGTATTAAATACTGATGAAGTGTATTTCCTTTACTCGATACATTTTATTGAATGTTTTGGCGGCATTCAATACAACATAGTTTCTATCAGTGTAAGTTTAAGATTAATCAAATTTGTATGTTCACGAGATGACTGAAAACATTTGTGAATTATTAGTGATCAACACTAAATTTTACTACAACAGTCGGATGTTTAAATATATACCACTGACAGATTTTATTCTTTGGTAGAATGGGCATTTAACACTTAACAAATGAAATAATATTTGAAGGGGTTTTGTGGATATTATTGTAATTTTAATAGTTGAGATCATGAGTCAATTGAAGCTAGACCACCATGGAAAGCCTGGAAGCACTGGACGACCGTTTCGTTCTATTGTGGGACTCCTTAGCAGACTTATAGGTCCTGGGTTCGAATCTCGCAGGAGGTGAGGTCGTGGAGGCGCAGTGCTGAGGAGTCCCATAATAGGGCGAAACGGTCGTCCAGGGCTTCCAGGTTTTCCATGGTGATCTAGCTTCAACTGACTCATGATCTCAACTATTAAGTGAAATAATATCTCATTTGATAGAAAACAGACAACCTCAAAAATAATTAAAATAAATCTGGATTGTATGCGTCTACTGTATACCTATCTCCGGTGTTTTAAAGATTACGATAGAGCACCACCTTTAAACACTTAATTATATTGTCGTTTATTGTCGTTGAATATTAATAATAATAATTAATAATAATAAACTGGTTGAAGCTAGACAATAACGTCGTTGAATGCCGGCTCAATGGTCTAGGGGGTGGGCGTTCGAGTGCTAGCCTCAAGAAATTGGGTTCAAACTCCGGGTGCGGGGTCGTGGATGTGCGCTGCTAAGGAGTCCCTTACTAGGATGAAATGGCCGTCAAGTTCTCCTAGGTTTTCAATAGTGGCCTAAGTTTGGTCGATTCGTGTTCTCAAACAAAATAATAAAATATTGTTTTCTATTATATTTTCATTTATTTTTTACTATTTTTTTAATAGCGTCAATCAATAAAACATCTGGACAACCTTTATTAATTAGTAAAGTGATTCCTGGTAGTGTTGCAAGTCGTAGTGGTTCTATCAATCCAGGTGATATACTATTAGCTGTGAATGGTATTCATCTTTCATCATGTAGTCTTTCTGAGGCGATACAACTTTTACAATCACCAGATGATGATATAATAATATTGAGAATACAAAAAATGGATACTTATTCATCAAAAGCAGAATTAGAAATAAAATATGGTTCTGATAGTTCGGTTGTACATGATTATCTCTACGACAGACAACAACAACAACTCCAACATCAACATCAAAGAAAACAGTTGTATCGAAAAAGTTTTGATGAAAATTTAATGAATAAGTGTTTAAAACCAGAAACACAGTTTAGAACACCTCAAAATGAAGATACTAACAGTAGAGATAATTCAAATGAGGATACAAAGAAATTATCAGACAATAATACTTCATCTGCATCATCATTTTCTCAAAATCAATCAGCACGCAAATCATATCAACATCATCACCACCATCATCAACCACAACAGCATTCTCTTGTAGTGCAACAGTGTCCAATTGAAAATTATTTCCCAGTGATCTAGGAGATTCTGAGAAATTATATAGATATCCAACTGGTACCAGTAATAGTCCAATAGTGCAAGATCATACACACCGATTTCATCAATTTCAAAATGTCAAGAGTCAAAGAACTAACCAAGATGAACTAAATCAAAATCAGTTCGATAATCAGCCTAAACAATTCCTGAATTCTAAATCAGATTATTCATTGGGTAAGTGAGTATTAATTGACACTGTTATAACTAAGAAAATTATCTCCTTCATAAAATTCTAGTAGTAAACATCAAGAATAATAAGGAAGAGGATGGTCCCTTCATACATCCTAACATTATAGCTAGGTACGGTGAACAACATGGAGTTATATTGTAACATCTCATAGAAAATAAATTGTCATAGTATTAAGATTTAAGATGTGGCATGGAAAAAAGTGAGAGGAATGTTCATAATTTAAAGAGCTGGTATTTAGTAATGAACAACAAACATAACATTTCTTTGTTATGCTCATGAACCTAAACCCCTAATAAACCAATAATATTATCCATTCGTTTAATATTTCCTTATTTACTAATTTGATAGATCATCATTATAAGCCATTCACTATTCTGCCTTTAACCAATACAAAATAGGCAGTGATTGGTAAATATGCAACACGTATCATAATCAGTGGTGTTATAACAGTTATTTCGATTTTCCATTTATTTATTACAATGTTTTTATTCGTAGCGTAATTTGAACTGCGCTAACCACCAAATGAACATCATTTGTAATTTCGAATCAATCAAATTTATACTCATTTAATGGTAGAACAAAATAAGATATTGAAATTCGGGTCAAGGTTAGTACTAAGCATTGTTAAGATGAGTTGGATAAATCGTAGAAATTTATAGATGCGTGAGGCAGATTTGTTTTTAGATTTAAATAAGATTTAAACAAAAATAATCCCATTCTTAGGTCACTCTCAGGCTATAATTTATATATATAACCACTGCCACGAAAGTCCTACTTACTGCATTCTCGTGGTGGGGGTGTCGTTTACGAAATTAATAGGGCGAAAAGCGAATGCCGGGTGCTTTAACCGGGTTAATGGATATCGAGGATTCATTTAGGGGAGTTGGAAAACCTTGATTTCAAACCAATGGTGCACATGTGGTCTAGGACTTGTATGGCGCATATGTACTCAATGCCCGTTTGTACCAATATATATATATATATATATATATATATACTTACTTACTCCTGTTACTCCTCGTGAAGGAGCATAGGCCACTCACCAGCATTCTCCATCCAACCCTGTCCTGGGCAATCCTTTCTAGCTCCGTCCAGTTGTAATTCATCCTTTTCATATCTGCTTCTATAATCCGACGCAATGTGTTCTTTGGCCTTCCTCTTTTTCGCTTCCCTTCAGGGTTCCAAGTTAGGGCTTGCCTCGTGATGCAGTTTGACGATTTGCGTAATGTATGTCCTATCCATTTCCATCGTCTTTTCCTAATTTCTTCTTCAGCTGGAAGTTGGTTTGTTCTCTCCCACAGAAGGCTATTGCTGATGGTATCCGGCCAATGGATGTTGAGTATCTTGCGTAGGCAGCTATTTATAAATACTTGTACTTTCTTGATGGTGGTTGTTGTAGTTCTCCAAGTTTCAGCTCCATACAGTAGAACTGCCTTGACGTTCGTATTGAAGATTCTCACTTTGATATTGGTTGAAAGTTGTTTTGAGTTCCATATGTTCTTCAATTGTAGGAATGCGACCCTTGCTTTGCCGATCCTCGCCTTTACGTCTGCATCTGAACCTCCTTGTTCATCGATGATGCTTCCTAGGTATGTGAAGGACTCTACATCTTCCAGAGTTTCGCCATCAAGAGTGATTGGATTGCTGTTCTGCGTGTTGAATTTGAGGACCTTGGTTTTCCCTTTGTGTATGCTGAGGCCTACTGATGCAGAGACTGCTGCTACACTGGCTGTCTTCATCTGCATCTGTTCGTGTGTACGTGATAGGAGGGCTAGGTCGTCTGCGAAGTCCAAATCGTCTAATTGATTCTGAGTTGTCCATTGTATTCCGTGTTTTCCTTCAGATATTGAGGTCTTCATAATCCAGTCGACCACCAGAAGAAAGAGGAAGGGAGAGAGTAAACAGCCTTGTCTGACTCCAGTCCTTACTTGGAATGCATCTGTCAGCTGTCCTCCATGCACTACTTTGCACTGTAGTCCGTCGTATGAGTTCCGGATAATGTTGACAATCTTCTCAGGAACTCCGTAGTGTCGAAGAAGTTTCCATAATGTCCTCCTATCTACACTGTCGAATGCCTTTTCATAATCAATGAAGTTGATGTATAGTGATGAGTTCCACTCCACTGATTGTTCGACGATGATCCGTAGTGTTGCAATTTGGTCTGTGCACGACCGATCCTTACGGAATCCAGCTTGTTGATCTCGAAGTTGGGCGTCTACTGCATCCTTCATCCGGTTCAGCAACACTCTGTTGAAGACTTTCCCTGGTATTGACAGTAGTGTAATGCCTCTGTAGTTTTCACATTTGCTCAGATCTCCTTTCTTTGGAATCTTGACGAGGTGTCCTTCTTTCCAGTCCATCGGCACTTGTTCCTCCTCCCAAATCTTTTTGAATAGAAGGTACAGCATGCTTGTGGTTGCTTCGATGTCTGATTTCAGTGCTTCAGCTGGTATGTTGTCGGGTCCTGCTGCTTTCCCGTTCTTGATTTGTCTGACGGCCATTCTAATTTCTTCCGTCGTTGGTGGGTTGACATCTATAGGAAGATCTATGTGTGCTGCTTCGATGTCCGGTGGATTCATTGGAGCCGGCCTATTCAGGAGTTCCTCGAAGTATTCCACCCATCTGTTACGCTGATGTTGAATTTCGGTGATTGGCTTGCCTTCTTTGTCTTTGACCGGCCTCTCTGGTTTACTGTATTTCCCTGCTAGTTTCTTCGTTGTATCGTAAAGCTGTTTCATATTTCCTTCTCTAGCAGCTTTTTCTGCCGTCGTTGCTAGTTCTTCCACGTATTTCTTCTTGTCGGCTCTAATGCTCCTCTTCACTTGTTTGTTTGCTTCTATGTATTCAGCTTGTGCTTGAACTTTCTCTGCTCGTGTTCGGCTGTTGTTAATTGCTGCCTTCTTGTTCTTCCTTTCTTTGATCTTGTCCAGTGTTTCTATAGAGATCCATTCCTTATGATGGTGTTTCTTTAGGCCCAGAACCTCTTGACACGTTGAAGTTAATGCTTCCTTGATGCCTTTCCAGTTGTCCTCCATACTAGTTTCTTCTTCTTTCAGTAGATCTTGTAAGGCTTGGAACCTGTTGTTGAGAGCTATCTTGAATTCATTGAGTTTGTCAGTATCTCGAAGGAAGGCTGTATTGAACCTTTGTAGTGCTGTTTGTCCACTTGTCCAGTTCTTTTTTAGCTTCAGTTTTAAATTGGCTACAACTAGGTGGTGATCTGAAGCTACGTCAGCACCTCTCCTGGTTCTCACATCTTCCATTGTCCTTCGGAATTTTTTGTTGATGCAAATATGATCTATTTGGTTCTCTGTAGTGTGGTCCGGTGAGATCCATGTAGCCTTGTGTATACGCTTGTGTGGAAATATTGTGCCTCCTATGACCAATTTGTTGAATGCACATAGATTTGCAAATCTTTCTCCATTTTCGTTTCTCTGTCCCAGTCCATGTCGTCCCATGATATCTTCATATCCGGTGTTGTCTATTCCGACTTTGGCATTTAGATCTCCCATCAGAATAGTTAGGTCCTTTCTTGGCATTTCTCAATGATTGACTGTAGCCGCTCGTAGAACTGATCTTTAATGTCGTCGTTGCTATCATTGGTGGGTGCATAACATTGGATAATATTCATTAAGATCCCCTCCTTCTTTGTTTTGAATGATGCTTTGATGATTCTGGATCCGTGAGACTCCCATCCTACAAGTGCATTTCGTGCTACTTTGGACAGCATAAGAGCGACTCCCTGAGTGTGTGGAGCATTGTCCTCCTCGTGACCGGAGTATAGCAGCATCTCTCCCGTAGCTAGCCTTTTCTGTCCAGCTTGGGTCCAGTGGGTTTCGCTGATTCCCAGTACTGCTAAGTTGTATCTCCTCATTTCCATTGCTATTTGACTGGTCTTCCCGGTTTCCCACATTGTTCGAACGTTCCATGTACCTATAAAAATTTTTGCTCTGGTTGTTAGAAGGGGCATCGGCCTCGTGGCTTCCGAAGGAACTCGGCTTTCACCATGAAGCGTCATAATTCTTCTAACTGAAGACCTTCTAACTCCCAGGGCAGAGTTTAAATGGTTTGAATAATTTTTTCTGGTAAGCGTTTTTTTAGCGAGTTAGTTTTCTACGGGATGGGGACGCTAACCCCATGCCCAACCCTCCTCCTTTACCCGGGCTTGGGACCGGCAGTAACCCTATTAGAGCTACAGGCGGAGTTATATATATATATATATGTACGTACAATATTGCATTTTGATGAATAAATGTCTCCAAAAATTACTTGTCAAAATTATTCAACATTTGTTTGTTCCATGCATAGCGTTTTTATCAATCCGTCATTTGAACATCTGGACCTTTTATAAGTCGTCTGTGATAATTTTAATAGAGTTTAAGATAATTCACTTTGTATTCCTTGTTTGGGTCTTCCTATCGATTGGTCTCTTATTGGCATAATTTCATCCTGTTCGAATTGCCTCGATATCGCCTTAAGTCACGGAGTGAAGATCAAATATGGGATGCAAATACACCCAGCTGACGAGTCCCAAACAGGACGAAACGTGCGTCCTGGTTCTCACAGGTAGCCACCAACAACCTTTGCCTATAGAGTTTAAGATAGTTTTAATTTAAAAGTTTTTACAAAAATACCGTAGTCACGTAAGTAGTGTGGAGAAATTATCTTTTTTAAAAAAGATTACTCATTTTTATGAATTACAAGATTCGAAAACGTTTCTGGTCGTATAAGAAAAGCTGAGCTTACAGTTCGACTAATTGACTGTTGTAAATTGTTAGAAAGAAATATAATCTTCCAACTGCAATCAGTTGAACGTGTAAGACATTAAAACTTTTCAATTTTGTCGCTGGATGTTCTAACAAATGGAATGTTATTTTCAATTGATTGATCATTGTATGTGGTAATCAATACCATGTATGTCAGGTCCTTCTTAGTGCAAATCTAATCCTATCGACTAAGTTGCAATGTGGCCACTAATCTAGGTGAATCGACATTGTGTGCACTGTGTTGAGATAAGACAGTGGTTAAAGGTAGTCAACAAGAAAACCTGGACCTAGGTTCCGTGCTACTTGTCAATCCTCAGCATGGTGTACCTGTAATCTTGAGGAAACTGGTGCTCCCTGACGGATTCGATCCCGTGTCACCCATCTTCACAGTCGGAAACCTTTTCACTGAGCAATCCGGGCCGCGATTGACCTTCTCTAGAACCAAAATGTTACGACAAAACTAAAAAGTTATCTTCTGTGATTTCGGAGTTATTAAGTAATCGGATATACTTTATAATAAGACATTATAATGGTTAAAACTATATTTTATCATTACTAATAAATTATACGTATGAAGTTTATATAGTTTCAAAATCAGTTAATGTCAGTGTGAGAAATATATTCATTTATTATATGAAAAATATCATCAATTTCAAAATAAAACAGTTTTCAATTGCACTTCTTCACTGAGTTAACTGTTAAATGTAAAGAAAATTATCATAGAAAGTAGGCATTAACTAACGAAACATTGGTACTATTGAGTATTGAACAGATCTTTCATTGTTGTACCTAAAGTCCTTGAGTATTACTCAGTACATGATGATGGTTGTAGGTTGCTGGAAATTCTCAAACCCAGAAGAAACAGGTGTTTAGTAGTCTATTGGTTTCTATGTTTATTATATGATGTCAGTTTAAGACGTAAATATTTTTTCAAGAGACAAAAAGTTCGTAGAAGAGAAAGTTGTGAGAAAATTAGAGATTAGCAAACCGTGACATAATACCAATTTATGGAATCGTTGACTATCTGAGCTCTATTGGTAGGTATAAGTATCTGGTTGAGGTCCGCGCGATAGTCACAATCAGTGGGTAGAGATTTTGAGTGACACCGATCAGATCAGACATAATGACATAGATATATTCCCTCTTCATCGTATTCTAGATTCTCGGCTCCAGTATTCTATTATGCAACCCTTTTCTTCTCGAAACATTTGAAATGTTTAAATATTTTCGTTATTATTGTTACTAGGTTGTTTTGATTCCTTTCTCATTCAACACATTAATTTCAACTTGTCATAAAGATTTGAATTGGAAATTAGAGCTAACTCACATTTGTACGTCGATAACAACTGTCTGACTAATGTACATAAGAGTTCTTATTCATTTGAACAAAAGCTTCAGTGTATTTATTAAAATTAACGTGGAGATGATGAATGAGTCTCCATTGTTACGTCATTTAGTTAGGAAGCGATTACAGTGGAAAAAAACTGTTATTCCATTTTTCATTCAGATATAAATAGATAAATGACATCTAAACGCATATTAATCCTGATAATGATGAAAATTATAATTGTACATTGTGTAATGTTTATATTTATAAAAGTATTAATCCAGGTGAAGGTTAAACTGTAAAACATTCACACTTTCCTTATTCTGTTTTTCTTAAAAATAAATGAAATTAAATAAAGAACACATAACTATTTGATATTTGAACTGGATTAGTGATTTCTGCAAGTAAATACATTTGAAAACCTTTTTTTTGACATTTACATGACCATTTTTCTTTGAAAAATAAGTTATAACTTTGTTACTACCAAATTAAAGATAATTCCAAGTCATGCTTAAGTAATGAAATGGAACATTTCAGTACTATTATGATTGCTTAATTGAATTTGATTAGTATTACTAAACATTGTATTATACTGATGTCTATTTATCTAACAATATAAAATAAGTGCAAATTAACAGTCAAAATTGGTTTCTTGTTAAAAGAAAATGTTTTCATGCTATGTTCAAATGGTTCTCCAGGGTGCTTGGTATCTATGTGGTTGAGCCATAGGATTGAGTTGTACTATTCAGATTGTAGCGTTAAAGCTTATACGATGTCTGGTTCTCCTGTTAAACGGGATTGAACTGTACTATTTGGGTTGTCATATGAAAGTCTGGATGATGTCTGGTCCTCCTGAAAACCAATGAAAAATTACCCTGGCCCACAAGGGTAATATTATATAGCTATACCATGTTTGAAGCGATGAAGAGTTCACCTAATTCGAGAATGGAAGGAAGAATTTATGACACAATGACAAAAAGCTACATATTCTGACGCATCTCGACATGATATTTACAGATTATTAAATTCACTTGGTATTGTTTGTTTGAATCTTCATATTGATTTTTAGGACTGCAATTGATCAGGACTCAGTAGCTAAGTAGATAAGGCAATGACGTTTGAAGGGTTCGATTTCAGAGTGAATATCAACTCTGGCATGCGGGTACATCCAGTTGATGAGTCCTAAATAAAACGAAATGCGAGTCCTGGATTCCACTGCTAGTCACTATCCATCTTTGCATAGAATTTACAGATAATGTTTCGTATAAAATTTCTCTTCATATGATATCCATTACAACATACAATCAAAGTGAAACTTTTATTAAAAAAATAAATCAAAACTACAAAGCAGAATAATTACCTTGCCTTTCCTAATATTTTTTTCTATTTAGCGTAACGTTATCGGTAGGAAAATTACAGTCACATTTTATAGGTACTTGAACAAATATTCACTTATTAAGGTTGGAGTAATAACTTCCTGAAATCACAACAAACTGGTCATACATAAGAATTTAATAACAACTGTAAATAGCAAGTTTAGAAACTGTTATAATTGTGAAAAATGATGCTGATTAAGAGGACAGCGAATTATTGATCGGACCAAAGACGCGCAAGCACGTAGGACGACCTAGGGTTCTGATTGGTCCCGCTTCCCTGTCCAGCCCAGTCAGTTGAGTCCAGAACGCAAGTCACAGCCTCTGAGTTCTGAATCATTATATTTCAAACATACTTTGTTTATATACCAGTCAAGCAGACCACAACGTACCATAAAATAGAAAATAATATTGTACAATATTGGCCAACAGGAAAATAACACGTTAAATAAATATTGACCAATAAGATGATACCATTTCATGTCCAAGGATAGCATTAGGCTTAACAGGATAATTTTTGGGATATTTTCCTGAATATCCCAACAGAAACCGTCACAAATGAATCTGTTAACGTTTAATGTTAGTTATATATATATAATACAGAACCATTAGGTTAGAATCATCTTGTTAAATATCAACCAAGATCTGCTTGGTAAATCAATGTTATTTTATATTATGAAAATATTTTAGGTGACTTACTAGTGAAGATATTTTACGATTCATATATAAGTCAAATCAACAAATAACTATTAAATAAGCTTAAATAAGATGATCATTATTCTTGATAAAATTTCCTATTCTCTTGAAATTCATTCATTAATTAACAATGGAAAAGAAATTCTAACTTTAATACTCATATTAATCATCATTGTCGATGTATTCAATTTAGTGTTTGATAATGGAAAGTATGCGTGAAAGAATAGTTGAAAGTTGTAGTCTAATTCAAACCATAGAACGTGTTGACAAAATCGAATATGCTTAGTTTACGGTCATTTCAATAAATCAATATGGTATAAACGTCATTGTTTTCAACGCTTTTTTTCCAATTACGGAAAAATCACTAATGATCAGCGTAATAGTTGACTAGAATCCATCTCGATAATCAATGGTTTTCAATAAAGTGGATTTCATTCATTATTTTTCTTACCATTGGAAAAATTCATGTATCGAGTAAAACAATAACATAGTTAGCTTTGATTAGATTATGTTTACTGGCTTTTATTGTATTAAAATCCACTTTTGAACATAGAACTAGTGATTTTTTTCAAGATAAAAATGGACTGAAAATAAATCAAAGAAGAACATCACATCTGAGATGCAGGTACATCCAGCTGATGAGTCCCAAATAAGACGAAACGCGTGTCCTGGATTCCAATGTTAGCCAATATTAATCTTATTTGTTTTTGTTTTTTTGTTTCAAGTGAAATTGAACTACACCAAAACATAATGTCCATTTTAAACTATCAATATTTCTTTTATGAGTTGAATTTGTTGAAGATGAGTGAAAAAAGAACATCTTACTACATGTTATTTTATAATTGTACAATTTTATCCATATTATCATTTGAAAAACTTGACCGTAATCGTATTTCTAATTATTTATTACTTTAGAACCTGATATAAATGTTGTTCAAGTAATATTACGACGTAAATCATCTAATTGTCCATGGGGTATTACTATTTGTGGAACAGATGATGCACCAGATATACCAGTATTAATTGATTCATTAAATCCTGGTGATCCTGGAGCTGAATGTGGTTTAATACATCCTGGTGATAGAATATTAGCTATAAATGGTATTACATTACATAATGGTCATACATTAACACAAGCAATGCGTATGTTACAACATTATCCAGATAAAGTTATATTACATATTGCACGTAAATCGAATTCATTTATTACAACTTCTATTGCTAACACTACTACAACATCTATTAGTATTGGTACAATGCATAATAATACAATTAATGGACAGAAACAACCCATAAATCATTTTCCTTTATCTAGAAAATGTACACTTGTAAAGGTAAGAATTAAAAAAATAGCTCAATTCAATGATTTAATATTCTATATCATTTAAATTTGTTTATAACGTTCATTCATTTTAAATATAAACTTTATTTAATAAAGAAATGAAACGTCCTTTTTTTCGTTAGATTGTAGTTTAATTTATAACGGTGATTTCTTGTAATAAACCAACATTCCTACAGTATATTGTTTAAATTGTTATATACTTGTACATATTCTGTTTTGGAAGAGTCGACTTAATAGATCAATCAATCAGTCAGTCAATCAATAAATCAATCAGTTAGTCAGTCAACTACGACACCAACTGATTTACCATCATTCCTTAGTATCTAACTTCACTAATATACTTACTCAAAGATCTCAGCAGATGCGAAGTTGTGTATATCTTATTTATTTCGAATAAAATAAGAATAATAAATCATTAAAATATCGAAATTCAAAATATAGCTAACTAAAAAATTTTTACAATGAATCATAAGAGTTTTGAAATAATAAAAAGTAAAAAAAGATTGACACAATTTTTAATTAAATGAAATCGCTATTCAGTTTATAAATGAGGGGGGGAGGAAGAGGAACAAATCTAATAGATTAAGATGTTCATAAATGTATCTAAGTGAAAAATCTTATCAATTAATTGATAATAACTTCACAGATATTGAAGAATCCATTCATGAAACTATTAATAAGTACGTAAAATAATTAATTTTATTTACTTGATGTAGTTGTTTTAATGTAGTTATATGGTGGATATTATGGATATTGACAGATATAAGTAGTATATATCATCAATCATAAGTGAAATATCTGGCGGTAGAAAGTTGAAAAGATCGAAGAGAAGAAAACGAGAACAGAAAGTAATTGGTACGTAAATGAAGGAATAATCAAGTCTGAAATAATTGATGGACATTTTATAAATCAAGTATTTACTGTATAGTTCTCAGATTTAACTAAGAGATTCTGTAATTGTGTATGTAAGTACATTTGGTTGTACTCATATGTGTATTCTCGTTCACTATGGCTCCAAATTCATCAGAACATTCCTTTTGTATACAAAGTATGAGATTCAAGATTTAGATAACAATGGAGGTTAACATACAAACACTTGTTGACTATATTTATTAATAATCTTTTTTCCTTATATATATATAGATTTTGTAGAGCATATTCACAGAATCATATATCAGCCCTTCTTTTACATTTATTTATATAATTTTATTCCAGGACAATCTCAAAAAAAGTATTAAATCTGTTCAGTTGAATTATAGCATTGTTCTGTTTTGTCTTTTTAATTCTAAACATAATTGAGTCGAAATACCCTTGTGAATAGATTAGGGTATAGAGATTATAAAATTCTAATAAAATAAACTAATAGTTATTATAAAAAGAAGCGGTAAATTCAAATAACTTAAATGAATTTTTATAAATACATTTTTTTACTACTTCCATCCATTGAACATATTGATATGGTGTATACTATGTCACTAAGACTACTAATCACATAGTCACTTGATGAATAAGATGAGATCGATACTAAAAGAATAGACAAACATGATATTGGACACCATTCACGTAATCAATTAGTTCTAAGTAAATCTCAGTCTTGTAGGCAGTCAGTCTTGATCTGAATAGTTCCATTGTATTTTCTAACAATGTGAAGCTAAATGATGTGGGTTTAAATTCATTCATTAATGTTAGATCCTTTAAGATTACATATACACCGAAAAGTGGCAAATATTATGAAACCTAAGTTGAGAAGGGTTTCTTATTGGTTACTCCTGATCATTTAACAAGTAATTAAATGTTCTTACAATATAGAATTATATTTAGTTACTTGAAAAATGGATTGTTTTGAATATAACACAATTTAATTGATGATGACACAAAACTAAAACAAACAAACAAAAAACAATAGAAACGAGAATAATGAAAAATAACAAATAATAATTCGATTATTATCAGATGACAAAAAATATTTTAGGCATTATGAATGAACTGAATTGAAAGAGCAGTAAAAGTAAAGCAAATAAGAGATTAGATTGAGAGAGTAAATAGTTGAAACGATGTATCAATAAGAGATTACATAATAGATTGATACGCTTCATTGATACCAAATAATAATAATAATACTGTAGTGAACAAAAACACGAGTGGGATCAATCGAATGTATTTAACACAAAGTTACAGGACTTGTTAATAAAATCTAACAATCATAAAGTAAATGCTTAATTTGCAAAATGTCCATTGATTGTCTCAAAATGACTCAGACTTCATTGTTCATGCATTTTCATACAAATTGCATTTTGTTTCCATTCTTTACTGTTCGATCCTCTTGTCTCTCTGCTGCCAGACCTTCTGTTCACGACCAACATCACATACTACTTATGTCAATATAAGTAGCACACGCCACACTACTACTAATAATAATAATAGTAATCCTGACAATAAAAGTAATTATAACTTACGAGATAAATTTTGCTTAACTTCTTTTGAAATACTCATTTGATTCTATTTATACATAATGTTATTATGATAAAGTAATATATTACATACACACAAAGATATATCTTTATCACAGATTTAGTTTAGGTAGAAGAATTATTGGTTACAGTGTATAGGACAGATGTGTTACGACATAGTTTGAAATTCTTGAGTAGTATATGATTCATGCTTTATTTTTAATACAAAACTGGAATAATGAATTGTAAGTATTACAAGCAAAGATGGATAGTGGCTAGCAATGAAATCTAGGACGCGCGTTTCGTCCTATGTATGCAAATATTGATTTTACAATGAATATTAGATACTGTTCATTTACTGTACTGAACGAGAATACAAGTGGGGACGACTAAAGGTATTGAAATACAAAACTATGGAGTTCTCTCGTAAAATGTAACAACTATATGTTCAATACTTCATTTGAAAATACTCCATAAATTGTCTCGAACTTCATTGTTTGTTCATTCCCATAATAATTACCCTCTGTTCCCATTCTCTTTGACTTTATCTTCTTAACCTTCTGCTTCCAGGCATTCCATTTCTGACTGGTATTATATACTACATATGTAGTATACACTGCATTACTAACGTACCCAAATATCATGAACACTAGGTTGAACTATGATTTTCAAATGATTCTGAAACACTAAAAGTCGTGTTGAAACTTAATTTAGAAGAATTCAATTAATTGGTTGATGAAATTTATTTCATATTTCTTAAATTAATGTACATTTAGTAGAGAAGCTTGTCTATATGAATCTAATCCTGTTATTTTCTTGATTTTTGATACTAACTGTAAATAAACATTTAAAAAGACAACAGATTATTTATGTGTACAAATTAAATTGTGTCATCCTAGTGTCGCTGATGCACAGCTATGGGACAGTCATAAACAAACGTTTCTGAATATGTGTAAACTGTAGGGACATATATTACTTCGTGCACTAGCTAACTTTGAATGATCAAAAATAGAAGTATTCCCTCTTATTCTACACTTATTCACACGATATCACTTTGATTCAACGATAGTATAGTTTATCAGACGATCAAATTTAGAGGCAGCTCTACTCTGCAACATGCTTATTAGGTAGTATAATATATATATTCACCGGGAAAATCAGTGAATACCTTACATGATTGCTGTAAACTAGGTATTGATAATTGATTATTCATATATTAATACTACTTACTGAAATTTACATACTTGGCAATGAAAACTTAAATATGTTAACTTATTTCCACAGCATTCCCTTTATAAATGATGGTGGTGTGATTTATGTAAGGTTATTTATTAGTGTTGCATACACGTAAGCGATTTGTTGAAAGAATTAATGAGTTATTTGTCCATAATTGGAAGGAATAAAAGATTTTCTTCATTTAAGACTTTCAACAAAGCTATATGCAAAATGGATTCTGTTAAAAGGTATTGGTCATAGTTGTAAAATAGTCATATCAAAGGTAAAAAGATTAAACATGAGTCAACATTTTTACAAGCTTAACAAAGTAAATTAATTCTATAAGACATTAAACGATAATGAAATATGTAAGACTTCATATTTGTTAGTAAATAGACAATTAACTTCAATTTTTTTTATTATTAAAGGCTGTAGCTACAAGCAATTTCAGTAGATCCTTTGATTCAATATCAAATAGTCTCAGTTCAAATTCTGTATCGAATAATAATATTGTTGAGGGACAACTTTTAACTGGACTTACACCACAGAATAATGATAATAATAATAAGTATAACAATAATATACGACTACAGAATCATAGTGATGATTCAAAAATATCTGTACAAAAGTCTAAAACGTTATATGATCCTAACCAATGTGCACAAGTTACGGATACGTCATGGGCAATTTCAAGCAGTTATCCAGATAGAAGTGTTGGTAAGTATTTTTTTGTTCAATGATAAAAACATACAACAGTTTTATCAAATTGACATTTTTAATCAATCATTTACACTGTTCATGTTTGGATGGTTGATTTAGACTTGCAATTCTATAAATGTTTTAAAACATTGTTTTTTTTTCATGCTTCATTAACGTTACACATTTTGCATATAAAAATACTATTTAACTAGTACAAAAAATTTGTGCCAGTTGATTATTCTTCAAAATGGATCCCTTCCCTTTTTTTGTAGTGTCTAGTCCCATGTCAAGTCCACATGAGTTATTCTGGCTTCCAGATAGACCAGTTTATTCATTCTTTTGATGTCACATTTTAACCTTGTTAATTATTCGTTTATTAACCTTGAATGTCTTTATACGAAGATGTATGTGCATTATTTATCCTACTCATCATATATCTGTAGCTTATTTTTGGTTTGACTATAAATACTGAGTCACACTTGGTCAAAGCGGGTTGGTTCATTCGCCTTCTAAGCTCTGCTTCACTTTCCTTTTCTTATTCTGAGTGTCTGTTCGGATCAACAAGTGTACGAAATATACCTATTCAAAACTTATTCTCATATTCGACTTATTTTATTTCGTTATTTACTAAAGCGATTTAAGTCGATAATTATATAAAAGAGTAACTATGATGTATATTTTGATAACGTCATCGTCCAATCTAATATGCGTCAAATTAAAAGACTATGGTTTTGTGTTGTTTCCTGTTGTTTTCCATTTGGGACTCGTCAGCCAGATGTACCTTGATCCAAGAGTTAATGTTAATTCCGAATTCGAACGCAGTGCCATTAGCTTCAAACACTATCTCTTTATCCTCGTAGCCACTAAATTCAGATTCCAATCAAGACTGATCAAATTACAGTCAAAAATATCAATAACGAGATAATGTAAACTATTTCAGATTATATGAAATGAAGTTACTTTAGAACCGACTAATATGAGGTAAAACACTGAAGGAGTAGAACGTTTTTATTTGAAGATGACTTTATGTAGCCAATGTTGTAGTCGTTTTTGAATCTTTGTTATTAAAATGTAGATTACAAGACGTTTGTTTACAAAATTTTATATTTTGTTTAATGAATCCTGACAAAATGTCATAGAGATTAATGAGGACAAGGAGTTAGAAAGATGTTACATTTTACCAGTAAACAATCAAGGAAATGTATTCACACTAGAAAAGTAAAACTACAATTTTAAACAAAATGTTCCATGGTCAATAATGAATGATGCACAAGCTGTATATGATTTAAAAGATAGGAAAGCTGATACAATTAATCTAAATATTAAATGTATTCAACGAATTCTATGACCTATCAATTGGAAAAACGAATGGAAGACAATAGACCTATCTTCATACTTAAGTAAAAAAAGCAAGGCCAATATTTGTATTGAAGGATATTTAAACAATCATTGTTAACCGTTTGCTAAAAATTTCATTAACATAGAATTACCTATTTTAGTAATTGTATTGTAAAGGTGTATGAAAGAAATGGATTAACTACGGATAGTATATGGTATGAGGTTGGCCACTACTTACTCAGTGATTAGAAAACTTATTCTAAGTATAATTCTTTCTACATGAACAATGACCAAAAATCGTTCTTAGTCGATGGTTACCAAAATGTTAGTAGTTAAAATCTTCGATCTTCAGTAGTTTGTTTATTGCTTCCTTATGTATGGCCTGTTGAACATACTTGATATAACTTTCGGACAGTTATATTTTGATTAATTATAAAGTTTTTTTTGACATGCTGCAACAAATGGGTATATTTGAGTATTACCTGTTTTGAACAAAGAAGCATTCCTACATACGAAATGATGAACAGTGGATAACACTTGGGAATAGCAATAAAATAATATCATTGAGAATGAAACGGATACTATAAATGTAGTAAATAATTACACGTCTTTGTGTTAACATTTTCAGAACATTTATGATGCGAAAAAGCTAACTTATATACTGTACTCCAATCTACCATTTGATAAATTTATGTGAATAAACGTTAACTTAGATAAGATACCAAGAAGAAGAGTAAATTCCGAAGGTACATTCATTCATATTGTGTAACAAAAGTTCGTTTTTAAAAGATCATAAAACAGAATTGAAGCGGAAAAAATTTAGACTAACCAACCATTATTTTCTATTTACTTAGTTAGTGAATCAAATACACTGAATCGTTCAGTTCCAAAATCCTCTACAACTATTTTGAGTTCAGGACCTGGAGCTATGTATATTCATCAAGGAATATCACCTAAAAATACACCTAGTGAGAATTTAAATTTAAAAGTACCATCAAATAAATCTCGTACAAAAACAATAAAATCTCGTCATCGTTGTTCATCATCTTCATCAAAACGTCGAACACATTTACCATCTACTGATGAGCATCAAATTAATGAATTAGAAAAATCAAAGTATTCACAATTATTTATTCAACAATATTCAGATACTACAACAAGTGAATTAAATGATGATGAAAATATTCAAGAACAACAAAATAATTCTAATCATCCATTTATACATCAACATCATCAACTATCATATAATTATTTGGATCATCCATATATACAATCGAATAAAGATTATTTACAAATGGATTTAAATTTTATTCAATGTTCAGGTTGTCGTAAAGCAGTTGAAAAAGAAATTAAATATTATTTATTAAAACAACAAAAATCTTTTGAAACTACACGACGAGCTTCATCATCAAATAGAAAAGAGTAAGTTCTTAATCATGATTATTACTTCATTTATTTCTATATGCATAAATGATGCAATCAAATTATTTTTTTTGTTTAAACAAAATATTTAATCAGTTATTATCTATATTTTGAATATAATACTCGTCAAGGAGTGACATGACCAGAAAACTATTGGAAGTCTGGAAGTTTGAGGGTGGCCTGTTTGGAAATCTAGGCTATCTGTTCCTCCTATCTGGATATTTTAACAAGTTATCTGTTTTCTTGTTTGTTTTAACACATCATTATGCTCATTAGTTGCATAACCTATTCAAGAGCGTTTTTCACTAGTTTATGACGTTTCGCTGTACAATTTACAGAAGGGCCCAATCACAGATATCATGTTGGCAATATGCATCGGAAAGAATGTACATTATTCAAATGTCAATTCCTGAACTGCTAACAGTTAACTGGGGACCATGTGGCAAGCCCACTTGGCTACTGTATCATTTGTCTATTCATTGTAACTACGACTCTTAATTCACTATGTTAATTCGGTGTGTATGATCGAATGCATGTCTGTACATTAACCCTTAAGCTATCCTCCTATTGGTTGCAATGTGCAGATAATCGATAATTTATCCACGCCCGATTAACTCTGAAAAATATATATTGATTTTTAACACACACACTCACTCACTCTGTTTCATCGTGTGCTTGCTCACCGTACGCTTGTGGATTTTTATTAATCATTAACAATAAATTATCTCTATAACTGATGTTCAGGCTTCTCAATAATCTCGAGTAAATCCGCAATTCTACTAGGAGATTAAGCCTACCTTAAATACTCAGTTTACGGGATATTATTTATTGGAGTCAGATATTGAGGAAATTTGCCTCAACATATTGGTTAGCCGCCGTTTCAACACCACTCAATATTTATCGCAAGGATCAATCAAGAAATAAGAAAAGGAAACTTGTTGAAATATTTTATGCTGAGAATTCTATACTGTACCAAAAATATAATATTGAATAAAGCAAATAATAATTAGATACATGTCTCAGTTCAGAGTGACTACTCAAGAGTCCGCAACTTTGATAAACACACTTAGCTAAATTTATTACTTTTGTATACAAAAAAAAATAGACGGTAATTACATTAAACCTATGAGTTGAATTCTTAATTAATTAGAATCTCAACATTCGTCAGTTCGTTAATATAGTATGAAAATAACCCAACATTTTCAGTTTTATATATTTCTGTCTCAATAAGGTCATATTTCACTAGTTATTAATTCACTATACCTTTAGGAGTCTAACCTGGAACTCAACAAAATGTATACCTATACGAACTATTCAATGGAAAAAAACCTTTCTCACACAACCATTATCTTTATTTCATTTTCTGTTCTACACATTAAAGCGCTACTATTCAGTTAGATCCATTTGTTATATATAAGGACATCCTTAAAACAACATTTCAATTAACTGAATACATTCTATTCGTTGACTTAATTCATATTATTTCTGGTAAATGCTTTAGTTTATTCTTTCTGCATTATATTCAAACCACAATTTCTAGATAGTACAAGTTAATAAAGAATATTTTTCAAGCTTTTCACTGAGATATCTTTATAATGACTTAATTGAATTGTCTAAAATAAAGTGAATGTTTTGATAAAAAGATAAATAATTTATCATGAATTTAAAAGAAGTTGAAGAAGCAAAAAACACACATGGTTTCTTCGTTTTCAACTTAGTAGTTTAAAAGTATCATTTTTACCTTAGAGACTAAAAACATTTTTTAATAAGATTGAATGTTCAATCGACACTGTTCAAATAACATTCACAAGTAGAAACAGAATAGCTGTTCTGTGATGTCTGAGCAGTAGAAATGTTCTTATATATGTGTTAGGGACGTTATATCCCCAAAACTCATATTTTGTAATTTCATCTTTGTGGAGCTTGTATGCAGATGTATGCTTTGGGAATTTCTTACCACCCACGCACATAGTCGATTGAAAAACTTATCGATTCAATGTCTAAAAACTTCCATGATAATATCGATGATATAAATTTTTTTTAATAAATAAGCTTGATTGCGTGCTTGATGGACCTGGTATATTCTGGTTGTCTGTAGAATACACTTTCTACATCTTACCAAAACTTCTGGATCGAGTTAGCTGAGTTGGGGATAACGGACCAGTATAGCCTATCGAGTCTCTGAATCCTTGATTCTTCGTTTCGTTCCGAGTAAGACGAATCAATAGTAGCATTCAAGTTTAACGAACATAACAATATGGTTATATTTTTATTATAAAACATGTAGCTTAATAAATAATTCATAACCAACATTGTTTAAAATAAGAGTAGTTCTCTTAAAAACAAATTGAAATGTTAACTATTGACAAAGTACAACACAAGGAATTTGTCAAATCACCAATCATCAAGTGTTGAATAAATTTCATTAGACTACATAGTTACTTAGCTTGTTGATGATGTTTATGAAACCTTGATAAATCTCCAAATCTAAGATTATTTTTGAATGATAAAAGTATTATGTATATAGTCCGAAATTTTAAATAGGAGTTTAGATATAAGCATACGTTATATACTATGAACTACATCTACTTTTACATTATTATCTATTTATTCCTTCAAGTTTATTTATGTCAATAAAATTTGAACTAGTTTGTTAGTTCATTAATGAAACTGATATTTCAAAAAACGTTACCTTTAGAAGATATTAGTAATGTTTGCATTTTGATCAGTAAGAAATAACCGATTATTATTATTTTTCATCATAGTTAAATGATTTTAATAAATTACTTTTATCAGTATAGGTTTGTGGGGATTATAAGGTTATCGATTCGTGGGTTGGTTGAGGTTAGACACTAAGACCGTTGAATGGAGGCTCAGTAATCAAGTCGGTTATGCGTTCGCACATGAGACTGAAGGCTCTGGATTCGAATCCCGTGAGCGGGATTACGGATGCGCACTGCTGAGGAGCCCCACAATAGGACGAAACGGACATCCAGTGCTTCCAGATTTTCAATTGTGGTCTAACATCAATCGGTTCAAGATCTTAACTAATAATTTTCTTTTAATCAATGAATTACGGGTTCGAAATCTTTTATTATTCATTTAAGTGTGACTATTTGAATAATGTCTCCTGTTTTTTACAACTAGAATAATTGAGAACTTATACTTATATTTCAAATGGACACTTCAATATAAGTTATTATTTATGAAGGTTTTATTTCGAGTACGTTTTAATTTTTTCATCCTTTAACTTGACTGTGTATGGTATCACTAAAGTTTATATCCCATAAATAGTTCTATCCACTTGCTAACAATATTTTATGTTATTATTATTATTATTATTGAATTCATAGTTGTATTCGCTTTAATGATCGTTTAAAATTTATAACTTGGATCCATGTTTCATACCACCATGTTTGGTTTGTTTGTTTGTTTGTTTTTCTCTACTTTCAATGATTTATTACTTCATTGCATGGTAAAATAATAAGTTGACGAGTAAAATAAAAAAACAAAAATCATATGAAAAGATTAAATAGTTGTAGATAAAACTTTTCTCTTTTTTTTAGTTAAAAAATTCTTGGAAAGTTTTGTTTCTGTGTAGCGAAACTATCAAATGGTTTTTTTAGAAGAAAGTTATACTGAGTATTGATTTCATCTTTTGTACACAATCAATCCTATTGTGAAACGTTTTAGTGGCTTGAAATCTGACTCCAGTTAGATTGTTTCTGATTATTATTTAAATATACATGTCATCAATCCTCGTGTATTATTATTGACTTAACTCGCTTAATAATAGAACGGAGTTAAATAAGTCAAATACGAGAATGAAGTTTGAATGAGTCTATTTCATTAACAATCAGAAACTATTTAACTGAAGTCAGATTTCGGGCCCGACTTAGTCGTATGGTCGAAAACTGCGTTTGTTTCATCAATTGAGCTTGTTCCTCTTCGTTCTTTTGATTGTCTGTCTGGTTTAATGATTGTACAAAATATACGTATCCGAAATTCATTTTCGTACTTGACTGATTTTAATTCCTCTATTCACTAACGTGAGTTAAGTCTATTATTATATACGAGGGTAGCCAGGATATGTATAACTCGATAACTCGATAACAATCATGATGCGATACAAATGGAATCAGATCTTGGGACACTAAAACGTTTGTTAGTTATGATCAATGACCTTTGGACTAGCCACTGATAATCACATAATTATTACATATTCAAGTTAGACATTAACACCGTTGGATGCCGGCTCAGTGGTCTAATGGTTAAGTGCTCGCGCTCGAAGCCAGTAGGTCCTGGGTTCGAGCCCCGCGTGGTGTGGGATCGTGGATGCGCACTGCTGAGGAGTCCCATACCAGGACGAAACGGCCGTCCAGTGCTTCCAGGTTTTCAATGGTGGTCTAGCTTCAACTGACTCATGATTTCAACCTGTGTAATTTCTAAAAAAAACTCGCCACAAAACCCATTCTGATATTACATATTCATTAGAGTTAAGTGTTGTAACGTGAGATGCTGCAAATTGGAGGTTAGCGAATTATCGATCGGTCCAAAGACGCATAAGACACGTAAGAACGATCTAGGGCTCTGATTGGTCCGCTTCTTTGTTTAGCCCAGCCAGTTGAGTCAAGAACGCAAGTCTCAGCCTCAGCGATATGAATCATTATATTTCAGACATACTCTGTTTATATACCAATCAAACAGACCACATCGTACCATAGAATAGAAAACAATATTTGTACAATATTTGACAAGTGAAATAAACATTGACCAATAGGAAATGTCCATTTAAAGTCCAAGGACACCATTAGACTTAACAGGATAATTATTAGGATATTTTTCTGAATATCCCAACATTAAGAATATGAATCTTTTTAGTTTAATGATAAGTGCTCATTTTGAAATCAAGTCTTGAGTTGAACAACATTTCAACGTATAATGTTAAACACCAGACATGAAAACAACCATAGAAGTTTTCTGTTTATCAGTGCTGATAT